TGCAGCAGAGGTATGTGCCCTTGGCCGGAACTGAACCTGGGACATTTTAGTCCATGGGCCGATGTTCTAATCACTGAGCCAAACCAGCTAGGGCTCTACAGATTATTCTTCATTCAAGTTAAAAAATAATAAATAATCTAAATACCAATTAAATGGCAAATAGAAAATTGCATAGGAGACAGTTTCTTATATTTGGATTTCACTGGATATAAGTTTAATAGGTTATATTTTTATTTTGTATTAAAAAGAATGTTCAAAGATATTTGAAGTTTTATTATATGAGTTACCTATTAACCATAAATCTTGACTAAACATTAACATGGCATTAAGCTTATTGTACATCTTAAGATATGACTGTTTAGCAAGATAGACAACAATACTATGGGCAGGACTGATATCACCAGTTGTTAGAAGTGTTTAAAGTATGTGTAACAAACTCACCTTTCCAAGATGCCACTGAAGCTGAAGGAATAAATCCCATGTTATTTTAAATTCATGTCAATAATTAGCTTTTCTGAAGTTTTGTTTGTTAGATTCACCCGAAGAATTCTTTTTGAGATTGATCATACATCTTGCAGTTGTGACATTTTTACAAAGAATGGAGAATGCTAATATCTTAGGATAAATATATTATCTTTGTTGGTAAAAATTATTTAAAGCATATTTCCTATCGAAAGTGTATCTTTAAGCAGCAGTATGTTGTTGACATGACCCCAAAGCATGCAATTAGCCCCTTATACTCAGGTTGCCTCTCTTTTTCTTTTCTTTTTCTTTTTTATTTTAGCAGCCATTGATGATCATTGCTTAGATACATTAATTCATTAGATATTGCAAAATAGTGATATTCTAATTATGTCAACCTTTTTCAGTTATTAACTGGGATGCAACAATAAAGAGAAACTTTCTCACCTTCTGTTTGAGTTTTGTTACTACAGTTGGTGTTGGAAAGTCCCTTTATTTGCTAGTTCTGAAATTGATAAGTTGGTTTTCTAGCATCCTCCCTCTAACGGTATCAAAATCAGTTTTGTTTTTTTTTTCTAGGTATCATTATGAACCCATAGATTTGAACATATTTTATGTATTTTAATCTATTGTAATTATTATCCTTAATAATAGTCAAAATTTCCACCCTTGGAAAGTAGGAGATGCTGCAAGTTGGTTCCTGAGTTCTTTTAAGACAATCCTAGCAGTCTTTGATAGCTTTCTTGTTCTCTGCTATATAGCAAGATGCACCAGGCTCATACATTTATAGCTTACGATCTGTAATCAGTTAGTTCTTCAATGAGAACTGTTTCCTTTTAATGGTAAAGGGTGGAGACCACAATCTGGGACCTACGGGTAGGGTTCACAGGCTTTGATGTGTATGAATCCTAATTCAAGTTTCTGTGTTTTCTTTTACGGTGGTTCCCATTTTACTCAGAGCAAAATCCTCTCAATGGCAAATAAAACCCTACATGATCTGCGTGTCCTTATCACGCACACTGTCTTTGGACCACCATCATGGGAATGCCCTTTTCCCAAATAGGTGCGTAGCTCACCCTCTGTAAGACTTTGCTTATCTCTCCTTGTGGAAATCTATCCTGTGAACTCCAGCTAAAATCACAACAGTTACTTATTTCCCCAAAACCACACCCAATAGTTCTATTTATATTCATATCAATTATTTTTTTCATATACTTTATAATTTATCTTTTTATTATGCAGCATCCTTTCTCCTAAAATGTAAGCTCCACAAGGGCAGGGGTTTTGGTCATTTGGTTCACTGCTGTATCTTCAGTGCTTAAGATAGTACCTGCACGTGGTAGCTATTCAGTAGTACCTATTTGTCCAATAAACAAACAAATGAAAGCTCAGGATATTTCCGAATTATCACACACCTAACAACCTATCAGTGTGGCTCAATTTCCAAGGGAAAAGGTTGAATTTAAAGCAAACATCCATCAAGAAACTGAACTGACATTTCTGGGTATGTGGTCAGATTCAGAGCAAAGTCTGTACATTCATTTTTGAAAAAGAAATGTAATATAAGCTGAGAGTTTCCATCCATGATGAAAATAAAAAATGAGAATTGAGGGTTTGTACCAAGGGACAAAAATTGGGAAGCAGAAATCCATTGTCAAGCCCAACTGCCACATCTGGAACAGGAACTAGATAGAAAATCAAGGAGTTCTGGAATGAAAAGCAAGGGTGAGAACCAAGCAAATAATTGTTTGGGTGATGGAGCTGGAGATTGCCTTGGATTTAATACATTGTTAATACATTGGGGTTACACCTGATCTTTGTTATCACCTGTGACAGTTTTCTGGCATTCTCATTTTGTTCTTCCCTAAATCAGTCTGGAACCCAAGGTCAATAACTTTAACAAAACTTTTATGTACATCTTCAGTTCATTGCTCTGCTCCTCCTGGCTAGTTAATCCACAATTTTGGATTAATCCACTGATCTGCTTTCTGCTCCCAGGCAGATAAGCCCCATAGGAAAATAGTGAAGAATTATGTTGATTAACTATTAGAATTGGTAGTTTTCAGCCTCAGCAGCTTAGCACTGCAAGGTAAACCTGAAACTTGCCTGTAGTTAACTCCACTTCTCTAAATCCAGTGTCTGATGAAAACCCTTATCACATTTCCTAAATTCTTCATCTCATTCTGTCCTGAGGACCACTTTGCCTGATACTTTACAAAGTTCTCATCAGATATTAACAATGCTCTGTATTAAATCCAAGGCAATCTCCAGCCCCATCATCCAAACAATTATTTGCTTGGTTCTCACCCTTGCTTTTTATTCCAGAACTCCTTGATTTTCTATTTAGTTTCTGTTTCAGATATGGCAGTTGGACAACAGATTTTTGCTTCCCAATATTTGTCCCTAGGCACAAAACAATCTCCAGGATTTGAACTAAACCTGGAATGTCCTACTCTTGGAATGTTCCAGGACTCAGCTCTTGGACCACTTCTCCTCTCTATTTATATTCACTCCCTTGGTGATCTCACCTAATATTATGGCTTTAAATATACCATCCACATGCTGATGACACCCATTTTATTTCTCCAGCTCACACCTCTCCCCTGAAACTCCAGACTTCTTTACCTAACTCAATCTCATTTGTGATTTTGCCATCTAAATCTTAACATGTTCGAAATCAAGCCTCTATAAGAGGGCACTTTTGGGAAAGACATTGTCATTATCTTGACTGTGGTAATAATTTAATGGGTGCACGTCTACAGAAAAACTCATCAAACTGTACACTTAAAAAGGTACAATTTATTGTATATCAATTATATTAAATAATTAGGAGGGGCAAGGCACATCAAGTTTCCTGACCTCAGTAAAATGATGTACTGCATTTGTAAGTGTTATTTCCTTCAAGTTTCTTAAATGCTTTTTCCATTAATTTGGAGAGAACTAGAATAAAGTGAATAAACATAAATAAGAAAAAGTTTCCAAATAGTTTGAATTATACTGTACTTAATTTAGGACTCTGAGCTTAAGTCCTTATTTCCTGTTATAACTCAGCCACATGGTATGTCAGACCCTCAACAGTGGACATGGTAAGGTGTGGCCAGGACTTGAGAATGAGACCAAGGAATCTGGTTCTCATATTGGAACCAAGATGGTCCGTAAAATTTCATAAGCTTCACAGTGCACCCCCCCCCTTTTTTTTTAATAAAAAAATGTAGCAAATAATATTCATACCCATTAGTATTTTTTTGTTTGCCATGTAACATTTTTACTTTTATTTTTTCTTTATTGTTCAAAATACTACAGATGTCCCTTTTTCTCCCCATTGACCCTTCCCCCCCCAGTCCCTCACCAAACTATTGTCTGTGTCCCTGGGTTATGCATGTATGTGTATAAATTCTTTGGTTAATCTCCCCCTGCCCCACCTTCCCTCAGATTCGTCAGTCTGATCCTTGCTTCCATGTCACTGAATCTATTTTATCAGTTTATTAAGTTCTTTAGATTTCACATATGAGACCATGTGATGTTTGTCTATTTGCACCATGGGATACTGTGCAGCTGTAAAGAAGGATCTCATACCATTTGGGACAGTATGGATGGACTGTCCCAAGTGAAATAAGCTAGGCGGAGAAATACACCTGTTTTAATCTGATCTCTGTACGTACCCAAATACAACATATATCAGTGAGGTGCAGTAAAGCCAGGGGCAACATTCTGTAAGGCAATTGTAAGTACTATGCTTTAAGTATTGTTTGGACCTGAAACCAAGGTTTCAGGAAGAAAAATATAGGAAGGAGGGTCCCATCCCCAGGGAGGAGGGACTGGCAAAGGATAAGCATACTATCCTAGTAGACAGATTCAAAAAGGCTGTAATTGGGAAACTGCTGAGAACCATGAAAACAGCCAAAAGCTTTCATACAAGCTAGGCAAACAGCAAGGATTACGAAGTGCATAATCAGTTCAGAGGGCACTTGAATGGGAAGCCAAGTTTAGTAGGATATTGGATTTCTGGCAATGGAACTAATTTTAGAAAACACCAAATGGTAAGTTTGAGCCAACTGAATTTTAAGGTAACCTAGAAGCATGGTGTAAGGCAGAGAGAAAAGAATTCCTATTGGCTGGTCACTAAAGCGAGACTTGTGGATTCTGCTTTCAACTTCTGAAACCAGTCCTAAACAAGGGGACCCATCTATTATAGTGTTAGTTTTAGGTCTCTAAGGCTTTTGAGTATAATTGAATTCTCTATCAATTTGCATATGTTCTGGAGGGTAAATCTTTCATCCAGCTAACAACGGAAGGTCCTTGGTCTTAGCTGGTAGTTGCCTGTTTTATTACCCAGTAAGCCAGTATTCATAAATGGGTTATGAATCTAACAGCAAGAACTGTGCTGTGTGAAATGAAAAATCCCATCAAGGTGTGTACTAGTTTTAATTAAAGCTGATATGCCCCCAGTACTGTCCCCTTCCCCCACCAGGGATCAAGCCAGCAACCCAGGCACGTGCCCCGGCCAGGAATCAAACCACGATCTCTTGGATCATAGCTTGCTTTTTAAAATTTTTTTATTGACAGTATTACAGATGCCTTGCTTTTCACTTTCCTTGGCATTTTATACTACTGACATATAGAAAACAGAGAGTATTTTACATCTGACCTCTTTGGAACCTAATACAGTGCAATGAAGTAAATGCACATTACCAATTTATCAACTAAGGAAATATGACATTACAAGAATGATTGGGAAGGAAAGGAGCAAAACCAGAAGAACTGCAGGAAAAGGTCAGAGGGATCATTGTTTCACAACTCTGGCTTTAGTCTTGTTTGCCAGCTCTGACAAAGGGTAGAAGACACTTTTGCCTGAAAGTTTTGTGCAGGATCCCAATTTGTCTTATATCATTCATTGTTCACTTAAAATTTACTCTACAACCAAGTACCAGGTAGTTGTCTATGCACTTAAGCCAGTGAAACAGATCTTATAAAATGCATTACCAAACATTACTTACCTATTTCGAAGTACATATAATAAAGGCAACTAATAAGATTACAAACACAATGCTACTTGTTTCTTGACCTTAGATCAAGAGGAAATATGAGAGCTGTTAATAGTCAAGATTGCAATTGCTGCATTTTATATACACTATCTCATTGAAACCTTACCTGAAGGTACATTTTACCTCAAAGGTCAGTTTTCTTCATTTCTTTTGGTAATATCATGATACTCATATTATGTGTAACATTATGCTAATTCATCTTTCTCACTGAAACAAGACTCAAAGGCCTCTTAACTTCCCACAAACCAGAGCCACTGTGGAATTTCTTGTACCTGGTTTAATGTGCAGATACGCCAAATACAAAGCCCTTTAATTTTTAGTTCATCATTTTAATATGGGTGCAAGAAACAGTTTCAAAGTTCCACTTCATACCATCTTACTACTTGGGGCAAATTCACTATGTGCTTGGCCACCCAGCTATAGGCCTGTCAGTCTCATCAGCCTCTCCTGAGCTGCATGGGTCCAAAATAGAATTTTTTTCACTAAGGCAAGAAATCATTTTAAGGAAAATGATGGCTCACTGAGGAAAAAAAAAATTGGTGTTTTGACTATGACATTTAAATATGGGCTTGGGAACAACTTATTCATGCAGCTATTTAGGGAAGGTGATCATGAATGGGGAACCTAATCACCTTGGTTAGATCAGATGCTATTACTGTTTACACTAAATCCATTCTGTGCAATGTTTGACTACTTCTAAACCAGATTTTCAGTGACCTTTAACTGCCACACCTTGCTCTCTTCATTTTTAAAACATCCTTTCAAATTCCAATTATGTAAGACCAAATAATCTGACTCAATCAGTGATCACTTTTATGCCTGGTATTCCCCCATCCCGTAATAGGCCATCTGTCCACATCTCCACTTAACAGCACAAACTTTCACACAGCTTTAATTATACATTTTAAACTTAAACAGGTGACCAAAGGTAAGACATTCATCCAGAATTATTTGATTACAAGGTTACTTAACTGGAAAAAAATTTCTATTACAAATATTCAGTATGTGACATGACTAAAAATGGCTTGAATTTTAAAGATACATTAATCTATATTTAATGTTGGTTCAGAATCTATTTGCATAATTTAAAACTCCATACATCTTGATCTGCATGTTTTCTTTCCAAGTCCACAAAATGAAGAGCTTTTCCTGATCACCAGTTATCCATATAACAAGCAGGTAAATCTTGTTAACACTAGCCCTAGAAAAGGAAAACACTTTAGATTTACAAAGCCACCAACATCAGAACTTATTTAAAATTTATTTTCAAAAATGCTATTGTCCTTATAATGGTCTATCTCAGAAGCCAGATCCGTAATACGTTTTTTCAACAGAAATTCAGGTTCGGGATAGGATCATCACAGATTAAGACCAAGGACACAATACTGACTGTTAAGCAAAATATCTCCACTTACAGAAATGGTTACAGCTTAAAAACATCACAGCAAACCGGCCTCTTTTCAACAGACAGCAGACAGCGACCCCTCACTGTTGGCAGAGGAAAAAACACACACTATTGTGAGGTAGCAGCTTCACCTATGCAGGTAACAAAAATTTTTGTCAATTTTCATATTGGTCTTGTCTCAGAAGCCGAATCCGTACATGTGTTTCTTCAGGTAATCAGGTTCGGGATAGGTTTCATCACTGATTAGACCATAAACCAAAACATTAAAAGGCAAGCACTATACTAGAAATACTATAGCAGACCCTGTAAGCCACAACTTACTTCCAAATGAAGCTGACAGCCAGTGATATCCACAGCTTCATTAGTATTCATCAATCCCCAGGATGCTGTTCAAGGATAAAGAAAATTTCATTTAATCTACATATAGACTAATCATATATTGAATCAAAATACTAGTTCAACACATACCTAATAAGATTGTCAAGTTTTAGCCAGGTACTTTCCCCGCAAATCTTCTCCCATGTTTTGGAATTTTCCTTTGCATCTAATAAAAAAGAAGCAAATTTCAAATGATGCACCATCTTTTATTCCTGTAAATCAACAGGTTTACTCCTTTAGCTTAAGAACTCTCAACAAGCACATACCTTAGCATCTTCACGTAACAGCTTCGTTACCAGCACCACCGTTTCTGTGGGGCATGAATATACTTAAAAGTGAGCATTCTGACGGAATAGAGTTCAAGGTTTTCAGTACTAAAACAAAAACCTCCCCTTCATTAATCTGATTTGCACACAGCGCCACCTGGCCACAATACAATTTGTCTCCGGCAAAATCAAGGGCTGTCCATTTTGAAATAACCGTTTCATCTGGCGACAGACGCCTTAGTCATAAAGGCCTTTTGCTCTCAACGTAAAACTAACTCCTCGCCCCAAATCCCGGGAATGTGGTTTTCTCGCCGCTGCTCAGGCTCAGGCAGCCGGCTGCCGGGGTTTAGTAACCAGGCCGGTGGCCATCAGCAGCAGCCTCCTCAAGCCTAAGCTAGAAGCCGGCCGCCACCGCGACTCGGGACACGTGGCGGTTGGGCTGCGTCTTTCCTACACGGGAGTTCTCAACACACAATACCATGAGCTCACTCAAATCTGTAAACCTCGTCATAGTACTGCAGCCTCCAACTTAAGCCCACGCCACCAGTGCTCGCTCGAGTTCTTGCCCGCGACGCCCACTCACCAAGCAGCCTGGACCAACTCCCTAGTCCGGACGCAAAAGAGCGTACTGCGCTGCGAGCAGTTCCCTATATAGCCTCTCCCTGAGTCAGACAGAGGCCGCCCCTCCCTCGCACATCTATTGGACGGGAGAGAACACGGGGGCGTGGCCTAAGGCCAAGCGCGCGCGCGGCGGCTCTCTTCCGGGC